TTAGGGGCGGAATTCGGGGGGCTGTAACTCCGAAAGAGGGGGCCAGTTGGCAAAAAATAAAAAATACGGGTCCCCTAAATTTGTTTTAAAATTCTGTGACCAAATTTTGTTGCATTAATTTCGGGACACCCTGTATATAAAAAACATGTTTTTACTTGCTTTTTACTAATCTCGGTTCACGTATATGTGCAAATAAAACAACCCCACGAAAAAAAATGGGCTGGACCGTGGATCGGACCAGTGTATCCCATACTATTTTGACCCGCTAAATCCGAATATAGTCCAAATTTCCGGATCAGTTCGTGTTTTAACAAAAAGCTCTTCTAGAAAGTGATTTTTCCGAGAGTTTTTCTCAAAACCGTATTCCTACAGTGTTTCATGGTTCTAAACTCTCGCACACCCCGTGTTACGGGGTTTTGGTGTTATGGGGTTACGAAGTTGTGAAGCTACGAGGTTATAGTGCAATAAGATCACGAATTCGAATGTTTTTCCAATCAATAAATACTCGAATCAGTTTGAGACCTCGGAAAGCGCTTTCTGGAGGATGTCTTGATGTTAGAATCAAAACATGAACTACTCGGGGAATTCTAACTTTGGATTCGTATTCAAAGTACTGGTTTGGTCCATATCCGGGCCCACTTTTTTGATGATTAAATGTAATGTGTAATTTTGGTAATTATTTACTGTAGCGTCACACTGCCAAATCTTCATAAAATTTTGTCTACCCCCTATTTTCGATGGTGCTGAACACGAATCTGAAGTTATTTTTATGCGGTCGAACTCAGTTCTCGAGAAAAAAATTTTTCAAAATTCTAACCTGGATATTTCACGTAACACTGTGCAGAACTCTGTATATTTTATGTAGCTTTCAAAGTGTAATAAACAATCAACATTGTTTAAGAAACACATTTTCCCAAATTTGAATTGAAAACATATGTATTTAATAAATAAAATTATAGTAACTTTATGTGGGATAAAGAGAATGAGAGAGGGGGAACTCAATGTTGTCATCACATGGCGGATTCAAACTACAAAATTTGTATTTATTAAATACATATTTTTTTATTCGAAATTTGCGAAAATGTGTTTCGTAAACAATGTTAATTGTGCATAACAAATGTTCTGAAAACTACATAAAATATACAGAGTTCCGTGTTGTGTTAGGTGAAATACAGGGTGTCTCATAATTAGTGTCCAATAATTTACCGCTTGATTCTATTGCCAAAAATAAGAATATTTTTTCATATAAACATGGGTCGATAAATGCTTCCTAAGGGAGTACGACCCCCCTAAATGGGGCCTCAAAAAATTCGTTTTTTTTTTTTAATATTTCCGAAATGGGTTGAAGGAAAATTATTAATTTTGACATCGTGAACGCTCATTAAGTCGAAATAGATCAATTTTTTTTACNATACATCTTCGAATGCTGCTCCTTCTGTCTGTACAGCTTCCTCCTGTACAGCGGAAATCCTCCTGAAAAGAGAAACCAAACGTTGTATATCGAAAATTTTGCGTATAGAATATAAAATCAAAGTTAATTAATTATTGAATGGGACCACCGTATTTTTTCCGAAATCCTTAGAAGAAATACAATAGCAAACGCTTTACAGTTCAAAAACAATTTTGATAATTTATACCGACAACACGACCCTTAATTATTTGACATTTTCTGAAGGGGAGATGAAACTCGATTGACGAAAATATTTTTTCAAATAGAATATACTTTTTTGATACCTACCTACTAACTTACCACATTAATACGATGAAAACTGTTTTGGGACCGCTGACTCCACTATACCTAGCTCTACCTCAAGTTTTCATTAACATTACCATGTTAAGGTCTAGAGACTAATCCACTTTGCTTCGAGGCTACACGGAGCATGCGTGCTTTTATGTGAAGTAACCAGTGATACCTCAACAGAATAATTTTTTTTTGTTTACTACATAAAACAGCGCAAGGAAGAGGACGGCACACAATTTACGGCCACAAATATTTTCCTCTTTTATGTAGTATGTAACTCGGGAACAATTCCACAGGTTCACAATAGTTTATTCTCAATTTTTATTGCTAACAATTTTAACCATTTTTTTAACAACACTTAAACATAATCAGTAAAAACCCTCACTAAAATCATTGTCATTGGAAAAAAAGTGTAACCACACTGGAACTGGATACTCACTAGATCCAGTGGAAAAAAATAAATGGAGACTATATTGAGAAATACATGGTATACAGGGTGTCCCGAAATTAATGCAACAAAATTTGGTTATAGATTCTTAAGACAATTTAGGGGACCCGTATTTTTTATTTTTGCCAAGAGCCCCCTCTTTCGGAGTTACAGCCCCCTGAAATCTGCCCCTAAAATAGTCTTCTTTATATCTCGGAACCCTGTTGGTACGAGAATCAGTTAATTTGGTGCACAAGGGTTTTATGATATGTGGAATCTGGTAGTGCTACGCTTTTTGGCGGGGAACCCCCTTGACACTTTTTCGTGGGAACCAAAAAAATTTGAAAGAATATTTGAATTTCTGAACTTTTTCGTTTCGATATTTTATTCGTAAAACGCAATTTGTTGAGAAAAATGGCGAATCACGATACGCATTCGATCACATTTTGACATTTTTCTCGAAAACATTGTGTTTTACGAAAAAAGTATCAAGAGACAAAAGAGTTTTTATTATAAATTTAATAATGCGACCAAATTTGTTTGGCTTCAAAGACAAAGGGGCCCACGAAAAATTGTCTTGAGGGGATTTCCCGCCAAAAAGCGTAGTAGTGTCAGATTCCACATGTCATAAAACCCCTGTGTACCCAATTTAGTGGTTCTCGTATAGAAGAGACTATTCTTAGGGGCGGAATTCGGGGGGCTGTAACTCCGAAAGAGGGGGCCAGTTGGCAAAAAATAAAAAATACGGGTCCCCTAAATTTGTTTTAAAATTCTGTGACCAAATTTTGTTGCATTAATTTCGGGACACCCTGTATATAAAAAACATGTTTTTACTTGCTTTTTACTAATCTCGGTTCACGTATATGTGCAAATAAAACAACCCCACGAAAAAAAATGGGCTGGACCGTGGATCGGACCAGTGTATCCCATACTATTTTGACCCGCTAAATCCGAATATAGTCCAAATTTCCGGATCAGTTCGTGTTTTAACAAAAAGCTCTTCTAGAAAGTGATTTTTCCGAGAGTTTTTCTCAAAACCGTATTCCTACAGTGTTTCATGGTTCTAAACTCTCGCACACCCCGTGTTACGGGGTTTTGGTGTTATGGGGTTACGAAGTTGTGAAGCTACGAGGTTATAGTGCAATAAGATCACGAATTCGAATGTTTTTCCAATCAATAAATACTCGAATCAGTTTGAGACCTCGGAAAGCGCTTTCTGGAGGATGTCTTGATGTTAGAATCAAAACATGAACTACTCGGGGAATTCTAACTTTGGATTCGTATTCAAAGTACTGGTTTGGTCCATATCCGGGCCCACTTTTTTGATGATTAAATGTAATGTGTAATTTTGGTAATTATTTACTGTAGCGTCACACTGCCAAATCTTCATAAAATTTTGTCTACCCCCTATTTTCGATGGTGCTGAACACGAATCTGAAGTTATTTTTATGCGGTCGAACTCAGTTCTCGAGAAAAAAATTTTTCAAAATTCTAACCTGGATATTTCACGTAACACTGTGCAGAACTCTGTATATTTTATGTAGCTTTCAAAGTGTAATAAACAATCAACATTGTTTAAGAAACACATTTTCCCAAATTTGAATTGAAAACATATGTATTTAATAAATAAAATTATAGTAACTTTATGTGGGATAAAGAGAATGAGAGAGGGGGAACTCAATGTTGTCATCACATGGCGGATTCAAACTACAAAATTTGTATTTATTAAATACATATTTTTTTATTCGAAATTTGCGAAAATGTGTTTCGTAAACAATGTTAATTGTTCATAACAAATGTTATGAAAACTACATAAAATATACAGAGTTCCGTGTTGTGTTATGTGAAATACAGGGTGTCTCATAATTAGTAGTTTACCGCTTGATTCTATTGCCAAAAATAAGAATATTTTTTCATATAAACATGGGTCGATAGATGCTTCCTAAGGGAGTACGACCCCCCTAAATGGGGCCTCAAAAAATTCGTTTTTTTTTAATATTTCCGAAATGGGTTGAAGGAAAATTATTAATTTTGACATCGTGAACGCTCATTAAGTCGAAATAGTTCAATTTTTTTTACATGTACAGTAAAATTTGATAAATCTTAGTTTTCTATTAAAAATGGTAATGTTGTTTTATATCGAAAAAGTAATCCGTTTTCGAGAAAAATCGGTTTAAATATGTTATAACACTTTCCAAAGTGCTTTTCTAAGCACTTATATCCGTTTTTCTTGGAAATAGAGCATTTATCGAAAGAGATAAAGACTACCTTTTTTGTAGAGGAAATGTAGGTCTATCATATGTTGGCCTCTGAATTTGAAAATTTCGACAAGCAACAAAATTGGGGCAAATATTAGCCGACGACCCCCCCAATTGAGACGCCCCTGATCAAAATTTTGGAAAAATTTTATGATGATCTATTTCGAGTTTTAATGGGCGTCCATGGTGCCAAAATTCATAATTTTCCTTCAACCCATTTCGGAAAAATTTAAAAAAAAATGAATTTTTTGAGGCCCCATTTAGGGGGCCGTAGCTCCCTTAGGAAGCATTTCTCGACCTACGTTCAGATGAAAAAATATTCTTATTTTTGGCAATATAATCAAGTGGTAAATTGTTGGACACAAATTATGAGCCACCCTGTATAGAATTTTGAAAAATTTTTTTTCTCAAAAACTGAGTTCGACCGCACAAAAATAACTTCAGATTCGTGTTCAGCACCATCGAAAATAGGGGGGTAGAAAAATTTTTGTGGAGATTTGAGAGGGTGACGCTATAGTAAATAATTACCGTAATTTTGTGTAAGTAATAATAACGGGGCTTTTTTTATTTACAGTGACGGATGCGCTGCGCCTGCGGCTGCTTAACGTTCCCGGTTGCTGTCAACCTTGCCGCCGCCACCGCGATAGGCACCGCCCGCCGTCCCCATCAGTGCCACTTTCTGCAGCAGCCACACCACCAGCAACACCGACAGCAACGTCCCCTGTGCCATTTCCTTCGACATCGACGACGTCTAGCAGAAGAAGAAGAGCAACCACCACCGTAGATCGCGAGTGTTTGCGCGCAGTGCTCCGGACGCTCCCCGAACTGTTACATCAAATTCATAGGACTTTTTCTCGGTACTTTTGTATTACCATAACGATTGTTTTTGGGTGAGATATCCTGCCAAACATATAACATAATTATTACATAATAATGAATACCTATAAATAGTAATGAATAATTTATAATAATGATAACGTAATAAATATTGAGTAAACAACGCCGCCGGCTGTCAGCCAGCCGGGGGTCGCCATCGAGGCGGCGCGTCGCGATGCGATGAATGCTGTGTAGTGCTCACACCAAACTCTTTATTAGTTCTCGGCACTGTTTTAAGTGCTTGTATTTTTGGGCTGTGTGAAGCTTAACCTAGGAGTGGATTAGCTTTAGCCCTTGTTACATATCCACCCGCGTAGACGGACAGACCGGGCGCGTGCAGTCGCGGGACGGCGCCCCGCCGCCGCCCCAATTCGCAGGCCGGGCCGCGGAGACCTGCACCCACCCGGCCCTCGCAATATATCACTATTTAAATCGAATTCGAATGCTAATAATCATTACTGTGTAGATAATCAATAATCAAAACACCGAACAATGGTTTATTTCTTTGTATCAGGCGGTATACTTGTGTATGTTAATGTTATTATTGTTGTTTCGTTTGTTTGCGGCTGTGTGTGGCGGGGAGTCCCGGCCGTCCTCGCTGCCTGCAGCCGACATACACCAACCGTGCGCGTCCGAACAGACGCCGCTCATTGTCATTTATTTGTGAATCAGTATGAATCTAGTCATGTTTGTTACAATTTAAAATATTTTATAAATGTTGATTAATATACGACATTCCTATTTCAATCCCTTGCGTTTTATTTACCCCCCCAAAAAACTAAAAATCGCCTAGATCGCGCCTCGACATCTTTCCGATACCAATTGAAGAACCAAGAGGTTGGCAGTATGTACCAGGTTCGGTCGCTGACGCAGCAACTCGACATCGAAATATTTGAAAAACTTGTTCCCATATTTATATACCCATATACAGGTCTGGTCGAACTAAACGTGGTCGTGGTAGAAATGTATACGCCCAGTTGAAAAATGCGAGCGCGGGCAAACGAAATACAAATACAGCTGCATTGCGCCACTGGGCAATAAATCTCAGCTGTTGACAAGTGGTTGACAAATTGCCGAGCAGTGCAGTGCAGCAATGGGGAATTTGGTGTGATTAGGATAATTTTAATTTATTATAGGCAGCCTTCTATTAATCATTCATATTACAATTACGAAAGGGAGAAATAAGAGGGATATTTTTATGACAACATGGCATTTTGGAGACCTTTTGAAATGGAACAAAACGAAATTTAGCATCAATATAATAAAATTGTTTGACGACATAAATAATTAAAATATGTTGTTGGCCAAATGAACATATAATAGAAATTTCCTACACATTATATACAAATTATTATAATTTTTACCTTTAGCAGAAAACTTTAGGGACGCCTATGAGTCATTAAATTTTATTGCCAGGCGTTTTTTTTACATTTTCAACTGACTTCGGAAAGACTATACCACTGTTTTTTTTTTTGTCAATTAGGTGCATGGACCTGTTTTGAATATCCATAGACTGAAACAAATAAAATGACCCTTATTTGCATATGTATTGGATATTCCATTTTGATATACAGGGTGTATCTAAATAACACCGCAAAAAATGTAAGGTGATGAAAATTAATCTTTGGTATAAATTTTTTTGAAAAAACACCCCTGAAAAGTTACGCCCCTCCAAAAATTTCAAATATAACACGTTTTTCTTTTTTATCTTCCATGTATATCAAGCTAAAGGAACCAAAACTTGGTGAACATTNTTTTTTTATAACTTTGTTAGTTTTTGAAATATTTTGAAAAAAGGCGATTTTTTTTTAAATTTTAAAATTTTATTCAAAAGTAAATGATTTTTTTTTTAATTTAGGCTTCTAAAATCGTTCAAATTCCCAGAATCTACTGTTAATACATAAATAAAGTAAATTGCAGAAGGAATACGTTTAATTTTTTTTTTCCGTCAAGTCATTAATTTTAATACCAATATTTTTTTCTCAAAAATCAAGACAATCACTTTATTTTGATTGTAACTTCATTAATTTTCATGCTAACGACTTCTACCGCCACTCAATTTAAAGGTCTTTTCAAGAACTTTAATAGGTGTTATATAAGTTTTCCTCGAAAAACCTTTAATTTTTCCGCTACATGACGTTGAACGTTTCGATTATAGCTAACTTCGAAATTGACTTCAACTTCTGGGAGTCATAACTCGGGTTCTATACCATCTACAAAAATTAAAAAAAGCAATCTCTTTGCTATTTAATTACCTCCATTTTTGCTTACGATCATTTTTTTGATAAAACTTTAGTTTTTGAGATATTCGCGAAAAATGGCTCAAAAACATGCATTTTTGGGGCTAAAAACGGAAAAGTTTAAGCGCAAATAACTCAAAAAATATTCGTGCCTCTATCGAATCGTGTTATTTTTAGTAAAAAAATTCCCACCCTCCAGAAGGGGCAAAAGCACACATCGGCAATATATAACTTTTGTTTCTTGGGCTATTCCCTAGCTACAGTTCAAATTTCACGTCAATCCATTCCATCCGGAAAAATTGGTAGCCAAAATGCTTCAGTGACTGGACTAATATTATTCCATCAAAAACCCGAAATTCATCATCCGCATAATTCATAATATACCTTTTTAGTCCGTAATTCCTTCATTTATTCATAATTACTCGTACAATTTGTAATTAAGTTTGATCATCTACGCCTTGTTTGTAAATATTTTAGATGCGACTATCCCGAATTTATTTTTGCAACTGCATTTGTCTGCATACGTTTAAAGTTTCCCCCAAATCATCCTTCGTATGGAACGAGAGAGTGCCCTATAAGAGCGGAATCAGAAATCCTCCATCGCTTTGCAAGTGATACAGTCGGATATTATATTCATTGGGTTTATTGGTCGAGAGCGGTAAAACTAGCAACGTGAAACCCGCGTCGACGGCGCCGCCGCTGTGCGTCACCATGACGACCGGTGATGCGCCGCTAACGCTCGATACAAGAGGTGCAAAACCACCCCTGCCCCGACCCTGGCCCTGGACCGCCTTCATCCGACAATGCAGCACCATGAGGTCATGCAGCATTTGACGCTGCGTTGCCGATTCGCGAGTCATTTCCTTAGTTTCGAGAAGAAACGGGAAGGTGCAACGTGGCAGATGAAGGGTCTGTTAAACCTACCCCTACGTGTACTCTCTTAAGTGCGATTAAGCGATACGGGAGATAAATATCTACATTTTTTATAATTGAATTGTATGCTGCGAAAAGGAGACACTTTCAAAGTTTTTGCTGATTGGATGGTCTTCTTGAAATAGTAACGCCAAGATCATTGAATAAAGGAAAAGAAGAAACAATTCCAAATACTTAAATCCATTTGTAGCTTCGAGATTTTATGCAAGTTTCTCAAATATAAATGACATATGTATGACAACTACCAATCATTTTAATTGGTGAGCAACAATCGTTCAACAATCCTCTGATACCTACCCTGTAAAACTATTTATCCCAGTCAATATATAAAAAGTCTTACTCTTTGATATGGTCCTTCTGTAGAAGCTTTATGAGTAATGTGACCTATATGTCCATAAACTTGTGGATGGTATTTATAAAAACACTTTTTTACTTAACATTACACTACCTCAATTGTCTCATAATATGTAAATTTCTGGTCCAATGCTTTTTAACGGATTCAAACAGACACTCGAAACTATCTTTAAGGAAATTGCGAGCATTTTGATCCTTTCACAAGTTTGAGCTTGTTCAAGTTATGTCACTGTATCGACTACTAGTCGCACTGCCACATTTTTCTTGGAAGTTGACCAATATCGGATGGTAGTATCCAAAAGATAATCACCGTAATTGTCCCAACGGTGATACGAATACTGAATTTATTCGACACCGTGAGGAAACGTGGGATGACGACTATTTACACTACTTTTTCTTGTTTTCTGGTTTGTAATTTTATGCACAAGACTCGCTTACAGTTTCAAGTGTTGTAATACCAATGTTTCCTTTGCTCCAAAAACACTCCAACTACCTCTTTCCCTTGGAGTTCCCTCTAGCTCAATCTCAGAGCTTCGAATTTGGATTTAATATTCTCAAGACACGCTTGTTTGTCGCCCGTAATTTGTAGTAGACCCTCCCGATGGTACTTTACACTGAGGCTTTCAACTAGGTCTGTTCTCATTATTTTATTTTTAATAATGTGGTTTGATACTTTTCGCATTATATCACTGTTTTTTGGGTTTGCCTAAAGAGCACTTTGTTTTGCAGACGAAGTAACAGTGCAAAATTATTTTGTTCCATCCACTGTTACACACCAAACAGAACTTTTCGTCAGCTGTGCTGTTACCTGTCAATTCTTGCTATGAACATAAACATTTGACCTGGGCTTCATCACGAATCTACTCATTTGATCTGAAAAACTAGTGAGAAACAGGTACAGGTAAATTTTTCTGTTTATGGGCTGTTGGCGAACAGATATTCAATCGATAAAGGTATAATAGAACCTATCATTAGTTGCAATATTGACGTGAATGAAAATATCCATATCCCATTCATGTGTCTTGAAAGTATGATTAGTGAATGGAGGAAAGTGTTTCCTAACAACATGTAGATGTTGTATACTTATATACATATAAGTTGACTTCCAATTATAGTAGATACTACATGAGAAACAATTTCATTGTAGAACCAAACATTTTACAGTTAAAGCCATAGCATTTATCGTAACATTTGTGTCTTTACAATTTATGTAACAGAAGATAAATATGTAATTATGCTGACATTTCAAAACAATTTGGAGGAACTTACAAAGGATTGTATTTGTAATATACTTACTTGCATGTAAAGCACCTAATTAAAATTGAAACTGTTTCTCATTATGTACCATTAGTTTTGATTGTAGAAATAAAATTATAACTTTGAATAGCTGTATATTCCTTTGTCTATGGTATGTACAAATATAAAGAGTTAAAAAAGTTTCAATAAGATTAACCTTCATACTTAAGGATAACCTTTGCAACTGTTTTACCGGCAAAAGTTAAAGGTCAGCAGTTGGTATGCGTGCAGAAATATTCTGGTGTGAAGATATAAATCGGAGGGAATATTAATCTACAGCGCTTCCTGATTTATCGTCTAAAAGAGATAAAGTCACAGCGTTTTCTTTTAACAAATTGCAAAAACTGTAGTGAATAAATGTTTCCTAATTTTAACAAATTTTCGCTACCTAATACTTTTAGCAGTTGGGAAGGAAAAACTGTATCGATTTAGTACATCATTATTTATTATTCATTGAAACTATGCTGGTATTATAGCCACTGCAGTTGCCAATTGAATCTTGTCATATTATTTTATTATTTTATCCAATTTCGTTCAATACGAAGGCACACTTCTGTATAAAGATACCTACTCGCTTATGATTGTTTATTTTTAAATTTGTAATTTGTATTTTATATTTCAAAGTTAAACAAACCCGTTAATATGGAGGATTAAAACAATGAAATTAATACAGAAATAAAATAGATATGTGAGATTACATCACAATAAATGTGCAGGATTATGAAGCATTAAAAAGTATCTTCAGAAGTCTTTCACGATCTTCCATCCTTAAATACTTTCGAGCACATCCACAAATATGAATATTTTTAGACTTTCCTATTAATTCATTCTGTCTGAAAACGGATAGACATCATGTGAAAGCCTACCCCACTCAGATTGATATTTGACAGAACAGATACACCAGGCACTCGAAACGCAATATACAGCAACATCGAATTATTGGCATCAAAGGACCGAATTCTGCCTGACAGGAGATGATATCTTTATTCAGTGGAATAGTAGAACTCTATTTGCTTTTATCTAATGAAATTGCCAATAGGCACCTACATGTCATACTTTAACGTATGTTGTAAAGGATTATTATCATTCTTCGCAAGCAAACAGCTTTAAAAATGTTTAATTAACTTGATGGCAGCTGGAATATAGCAACGGCTTCTAAAAATGACGTACTTCAATCGATCTGTAAGGTGTCGGAAGTTCTTGCTGGTATAGACGTTAGCAACAGATATTAAAAGATTAATTTTCAATACGATAATCTGTTCACATATAATTCAATAAAGACCGTAACAAAATAATAAATAAAAATTAAAAGTGTATTTTGGAATTTTGGAAAAACACGACCTCGAAGAAATTGTATTAACTTTCAACTACTAACACTTGTAACAAAATAATTAGACAGAGTTATAGGCAAATGTGAGACAAAGGCTCCTATATTAGCTTATATCGATATTTTATACAGGGCATTTTTTATAATACGATCATTTTTAGAAAGTTCAAACTTAATTTTCTAAAATTTTTCAAATGGAACACCCTGTATTTCATTGTTCTATTTTATTCACATACCGGTTCACTTCAACTTTTATTAAGCATGTTCCATATCTAAAATTGTTAGCTTTTAAGATACAGCAACATTTCTGAAAAAACTTAATTTTTATTATTTTATAGAATACCACATAATAAAATTAACTCAAAATGGAATAATAAATTATGAACTGACAAGTTGACACAATGTGACAGTTTTTTTCAAAGCCACTTCGTGCGACCGAAAATAATAAAAATTAGGTTTTTCCAGAAACGTTATATCTTAAAAACTAACAACTTTAGGTGTAGAACAAACTTAATAAAAGTTGAAGTGTAGTGATATGTGAATAAAATAGAACAATAAAATACAGGGTGTTCCATTTGAAAAATTTTAGAAAATCAAGTTTGAACTTTCTAAAAATGATCGTATTATAAAAAACGTCCTGTATAAAATATCGATATTAGCAAAAATAGGAGTCTTTGCCGAACATTTGCCTATAATTCGGTCAAATACTTTTACCCCAAGTGTTAGAAGTTGAAAGTTAATACAACTTCTTCGAGGTCATGTTTTTTCCAAAATTCGAAGAATGTTCTACATAACTTGGCAACCCCGCACTAAAATGTTAAACTGTTTATATTGCCATATATAGAATTTTCTCAGAAATACATATCTTCAAAAATATACAGCGTGTTCCATTTAAAAAATGTAATATTTGGCGTGACCCGTTTTTACTCATCGCCCTGTGTGTTTCAAATTAATTTTGTCCTTTAGGTTTTTTGATTCTGTACAACTTTTTTATAAACTTTTTTCTGTATTATGAATAATAAGGGAGTTATTTTACTTTATCATACTATTGGCCCACCCTGTGGGTCGGAAAGTCCCCATGGTTCATCTGCCGTTACGTGAGAGCGATAAAGTCATAGAAATCCGTGCGATAGAGAAAGATGGCTATAATGAAGGCGTCTAATAGTCACCGCCCATTTCACCCTTCCACAAATAAGAACCACATCTTAATTGTGGAAGGGCGAAATGGGCGGTGACTATTAGACGCCTTCATTATTGCCATCTTTCTCTATCGCACGGATTTCTATGACTTTCTTTATCGCTCTCACGTAACGGCCGATGAACCATGGGGACTTTCCGACCCTGTATATGTATTTCTCGTAAAATTACATTTAAATCTATCGAATCGAATGCTATATTGTTGTAACGAAGAGATATATCCAAATAAGTATATTTCACTGAAAAGATACATTTTTGGATTGCAACGATGCAATTGATGCCATCGGATTAGCATATTCTTTTACTACGGAACGTCAAATTTGACACAAATCAAATAATATGTGTAAAAATTATAGAGGGTTGTCTCTAAAAAACACAGCGCATTGTCTAAATGATTAATCATTTTTTGTATGTTATATAAAAAACGCCCTGTATGTAACAATCCTTTTTATTTCATTTTACAGAATTCTTTCGAGTTTTCGAAACACGTAATTAGACCATGAAGACGGTGAAATATGTTGCGTAGTCAGAACCAAAACAAGTCGAGAAATGTCGTAGAGCCGGTGTGTCGCATTCACCCTGTATCTTTGAAGTATGAACAAACAGTCTAGTCATTTGGCAACCCTTATCTTATATCAGATACCTATTACAATATATTAAATTGTGTTACATTCGTAAAGAGTTATTGTGATAATGTTTTTTAATAAATTTGCTTTGGCTTCACTTCTGTTTTATTTAAAAAGTAAAATTTCATTAATTTTTCGTTCATTGGTACAATCAAACTAAATAATAATTCATTAAAATCATAAAATTCAAATTAAACTAGTCTTCAGGTAATCTGGGAATCATTCTGGAAAAGCCCCTCTCGGTCCAGCCTAGAACGGCAGGGGTACACCCACAAAAAAAAATCAAGTTTAATTTTAATTTGCAATTTTTAATTCGAAAGTAGAGAAAATTTTTTGACCATTTTTTTTAAAAAATTGACAAAAAATGGAGCAAAAAATTCGGTAGGGGGGCGGAGGGGAAATTTTTTATAGCAAAAAAGGGAACAAAAAATTCGATGGGAGGGCGGAGGGGAAATTTTTTATAGCAAAAAAGAGCAAAAAATTTAACAAAAACTCCTCGCTCTTTTCCTTAAAATTTGATTGAAATTTGTATTTTTGTTTTTTGTTGAAAATTGACAAAAAATGGAGCAAAAAATTCGGTAGGGGGGCGGAGGGGAAATTTTTTATAGCAAAAAAGAGAGAAAAAAATTTAACAAAAACTCCTCGCTCTTTTCCTTAAAATTTGTTTCCTTGTAGCCACGTTGATCGAAGCAACATCAAAAATATACTCCCAGCCACAGACGATTTATTCAACGTCTAGGTACTGGGAACATACATCTTCGAATGCTGCTCCTTCTGTCTGTACAACTTCCTCCTGTGCAGCGGAAATCCTCCTGAAAAGAGAAACCAAACGCTGTATATCGAAAATTTTGCGTATAGAATATAAAATCAAAGTTGATGAATTATTGAATGGGACCNGTATTTGTTGACAAAAGAATTTTATGTTAAAAAGCAATTTCTCCAATATTAATGAAAAATATGGTCTTATGTAATTTAATTTTAAATATTATTTCCAGATAACTTACCTTAGCGAATTTTTGAAGCCTTGTATAGGGTGGATAAATTTTGACACTTCCTTAAAAGAGGCAAAAAATAGTTAAGAAATTCATTTTCCAGGAAAATTTAATTTTGATTCGTTTAAAATATACCACGCACAAAGTTTTCATTTTCGGTTACTTTTTAGACGTCTGTAAATCTTTTATTCGTAAAATTTGTTTATATTTATAACTCCTTTTCCAAACTTTCACTTGTCTTCGTCGAAACCTGAAAAGCAATCTCGCACGTGCTTGTCACTGAATTTCGTGTGCTAAAACCAAAATTTGTTCCCTACACCGAATTCAGTCCTTCTGTGTCTTCCACAATGCTTACCAGTGTTCCTAGCCCTTTGAATAATTGAAATCTCCGAGGAAAAAAAAACTTGGTTAGGATATCAATCGCGAACAAATGCAATGCTGATGGAACATTTTGTCAACACTCCCCGTAAGTCATCAAGTATCATGTCTGCTGGCACATTATTATTGTTATGATCATGTATTTGGGCAGGATAAAAACGTTATTAGCTGATTTCGTTTATTGTACTCGACAAAAGGACGACTGTTCCTTCATAGGGCCGTTTCCGAATAATTTTTCAGTTTCCCGGAAAAAAATTACTTACTAAATTGTTTTCTCTCTTTTAGTTTCACGTACTGCTACAAAAAAATACAAAGTTAGAAATTACTGTATATAGACTGAACATTTCTAGATCTCAGTCCTTCTACCTGTCCTTCACGATGCTTCCATACATTACAGGCATTCCTAGCCCTTTAAATCACTTCTTGAAATCCCCAAGGAAAGGGGTAAGTATGGTTAGAAAAATTATCACAAACAAATGCAATGCTGATACAGCATTTTGTCAACGCTCCCCGTAAGTTAATATCATGTCCGCCGGTTCATTATTATAAGCGTAAACTGTTGTATTTGGGCACCATAAAAACGTTATTAGCTGTTTTCGTTTATTGCACTCAACAAAGGACGACTGTTTTAAGGTTCATAGGGCCATTTCTGACTAATTTTTGAGTTTCCCGAAAAAAGTTACTTAATAAATTGTTTTCTCTCTTTTAGTTTCACGTACTGCTACAAAAAAAATACAAAGTTAGAAAATCACCCTATATAGATTGAACATTTCGAGACCTCAGTTTTTCTACATGTCTTCCATGCTTCTATACATTACAGGCCTTCCTGGCTCTTTAATTCATTTTTTGAAATCCCCAAGGAAAGGGGTAAGCCTGATTAGAAAAACCATCGCAAACAAATGCAATGCTGGTACAGCATTTTGTCAACGTTCCCCGTAAATTAATATCATGCCAGCTAATCCATTATTGTCATAGGTATGAACTATCACAACAATTTGAGCACCATAAAAATGTTATTAACTGTTTTTGTTTATTGTACTTGACAAAGGAGGGCATAACTTAAAATTGTCTCAATCTTCGTGTAGCAGTTTTTTCATAAGTTCTAAGATTTTTGGAAAAAGTTATTTAAAAAAAATGTTTTATACATTCTATTACAAAAAAATATATATTAAATTAGGAAAATCTTGTATAGATTGAAACTAATAAAAATTCCTATCAATCGTTTATTATTCATTCCAAAATTACCTTCCACTTACCGTCCATCCCTAATTTAAAAATTGTAAAATATCTACGTATTACAAGTATCATAAAAAAAAACTAAAAAGCAGGAAAAAATCACAAGATGTCTTCAAGAACCGCTGAGGTAAAACGTTTCTAGTCCTATTGCTGCACTATTATTCCTAGTTGCAATAAGTTAATAAAGTTTAATACTAAATGGCTCTCTGACGGAAACGCCGGGTTTGCGAACGGTAAGAGTTCTCTCTTCGCCATCATAGGATGTTTCTAACTCAACAGTACCTAAACCTGAAACACAAAATATGTAAATATTTATCACTGCATATGCCACCATCCACGCCCCTGAATTAGTGGGCAAACCGTTTGGAAGATGTAAACAATATGAGTTTTTTTTTTAAGAAAACTTAACACCCTGTTTCACAGAAACAAAACATTTGCACACATTCATCAATATGAACCTATTTTCTTTTTTTTTATGGAAAACTCTGCTCATTCTCACTTTTTTTTTACACACCGATCATGAATGACGTTTGTTATGACATTGGCATAAGTATTGGCATGGTAATCGGTAATACTTACTTTTACTAGTGAGTTTAGCGCCCTTTATGCCACTTGGTGGACCCAAAATCACCACTCTTTCGATCCACTCTTTAGTAGGATAATCAGTCTTATCGATCAACCTGAAATAAAATAAGACGATAAAATAAGGCAGTGGAACTGAAAGGAACCAATAAATTTTCCAAATGAATAAAATTAAAAAGAAGTAACTTGACGTACAAAAGTTCGATTAATTAAGGAATTTTGACATAACTACGTGCGTAGAATACCATAAAATACAGTGTTTATCACTTTTTTGAACTTCTTTATGCTTAATTCTAAAAAATCATTAGCATTGTAATAAATTTAAAATTCGATAAAATTCATATGGAGCAATGTGACAAAGGCGCGGCGGATAACACAAGGTACTAAGCCGTCAAGCAATATGCAATTCAGTTGGTATCTGGAATTGGACCATGTCTGGGTGTTTCTTGCGTACCACTATTTCCTTTTCTTGAGGTGTTTTCCAGCGAGTGCGTAAAAATTTTATTCGAAGGTGGATACATGGATGAAATACGTAAGATACATTGAAAATTCCATTAGTTTTATGAAAAACCAGGAAACACTATCGCCTGAGACTAACTGCTCCCGATACGAAGAATTTGACATGCAAGGAGGGAAGACCGTGAAAATCAAACAATAACAATTACACCGAAATCCATAAATCATCATGTTTTAAAAAATTTCAAGAATCATTTAAAAAAAGAATATACATCACTTACTTGCTTGTTAAAGTGTTCTCTTTGAAATCAAAGTGGATGTACAAATATTTCTTATTATTCTTGTACTCGAAACTCTGGTAATCGTCCAAGTAAAGTGTACCCGAAGCAGATTTCTGTAAAAAAAGTAATAACGATTAAAGATAACAGTGATAAAATTCCTATAGTACAAACCTTGCTATCCAGTGCCACGTACAGTGAAAACGGATCGTTGTGCATTAAAGACGCTGCCCTCCTAGGTCTGTCTTTTCTTGGTATAATACTACCACCACGGTAGAATGCAATATTCTGAAAAAATTGCAATTATCGGTTACGACTTATACTTAAGTGAGACCTAGATCATTCTCTTTTGTTCTCCGAAAACATTTTCAAATTTTGAAGGCCATTTCCTCGACATGAGAAGGAGAATCTTCTACAAAATTACAAAAAAAATTTTCTTTCTGCGACACCACGCCCATAAAGTGTATGTGCAAAATTTGCTATAAAAGTCATTGGATTTCGCTATTCAAGTCAGTGAGCTCCGAATCTTCAACAGCAATAGATCACACGTCAGAACAGATATTTTCAGTTTATTTTATTTTACGTTTAAGGTCAGTTATCTTCGGAATCTCGACAGAGAAGTGTACTAGATTGCAACGGAAAGTATTCAGCTTTATTTGATTTTATACCAAGTCAATTAGCTTTGGAACCTCGACGGGAAAGCATTGTACATCGTAATGGAACATTTTCAGCTTTATTTTATTTTATATTAAGTCAGTTAGCTTCGGAACCTCAATGGGGAAGTATCGTGCACCGTAACGGAACATTTTCAGCTTTATTTTACTTCAAGCCAGTGTTGTTCGAATCTTCAATGTGCAAGCATAGGGCGTCACTACGAAAATTTCGCTTCTATTCTATTTCAGAATTAAAGAAAACCAGGCGATCAGTTGTTGGGGCACAACTTCAACAAAACGTTCACGAAAAGAGTTCGACAGCAACCCCAGTTTTATTTTTAAAAAGAATTTGCTAGCACTCTGCAATTTTTATTGTGGAGGCAAACAAAAAGAATTTGCAGTGTAATTTTCATTACGTTTAAATATCGTACTTCCTACTTGGGAAATACAACAAAGAGAATTGAGATCACATAAATTAATAAATTCACGGAAAGCGAAAACGGGCAGTCATCAACATCGATCGTCTGAGGACTTAGTTAAGCGACTTCATAGTATATTAGTATAGATTTCGAGGCTAACGAGCCACAACAACGAAATTTTTAGAAGCACATTCCAAAATAAAAAAAAATTCATGAATGTTGAAAATAACACAAATCTACGACGTGGCGCCCAACGTGGGGCAATTATACAACTACGTAAACACCATAATACAATTCGAATCAAGTTTGTCAATATACTTAATTAACACCCTGTATATACAATTTATGAGAGAACGTAGAAACTTTGGTAGCAAATAGGACAAAACAAGAAAAAATAATCGCTCATGATATCGATTTATTCTCATTCGTTTTGGGACTATTCACCAAAAACAAATTCTCGAGAATTTTGCTACGATTTACAAATAAAACAAAACAGACAATTTACCTTATCGAGTGACGCCGGCAGGTTATAGACTCCAGTTCCCGGATAAAGCTTGAAGTCTTCAATATCGTACCAATATTCGGAGAATCCTCCTGGCAAGTACACGTTAGTCGTGGAAATTCCCGGTTCTGATATAACTAACGCCAAAATGGAAGATCCTAACACAAAAAAATTTATATCGGAACAAGAAATCAATCACAACTTTCATATTAGAAAAAAAAAAAATTCTGATGGTATTACACGGACAAAATTGGCTGTTATTTCTTACCTACGAGAAGTTCCTTGTCGATATCAACCACATTCGCGTCGTCGGGATACTGATAGAAAAGCGGCCTTATGACGGGATCGCCGGTAATTTCGTGCTCCCAGAACAGTGTGTACCACAGCGGAAGGTGAGCGTATCTTAATCGTAGAGCTGTTCTAATTCTGTTACGCACGTCTTCATTGAATAAGTACGGTTCCCTGCGTCTGGTGTCAATGTGGGCATGGGCTCTGTAGAACGGCAACCATATACCGGCCTACAACAAATAAAGGCGTTTACAAATTCACAATCTATTATGATATTCCATAATAAAATTTCAATGTATGTTATTTAAATATTAAATAACTATGGAGTGTTGTGAAAATTCTCATTTATTGTAGGTTTTTTTAGTTTAAATTTTTGCCTTGTTTATTTTTCGTTGTTTTTCCACCATTCTTCTACATACTTTAAAAAACGTTACTCAACATTACAAAAAACTAATGGTTCAATTTTTACCAACCAATTTTTCTCCAAATTAGAGCCCGATACGTTTGAACTACTTTTTATATATCACGAGAAACGAAATACGAGAAACTCCCCAAAAGTTTGCAAATTATCCCAGCCTGTACATGTTCAAATAATACTCTTAAACAGAAAAATAACAATTCTGACCTGATACCATCTTTGAAGCAACTCAGTGTCCGGATTATTGAAGAAACCCCCAATATCGGCACCGCAAAAGCTTATACCGCCAATAGCCTCCGAAAGACACATGGGAAAACTGGCCGCCAAATGAGACCACTCAGCTGCGTTATCCCCCGTCCAAATCGTGACGTATCTCTGCGAACCGGAAAAGTGACCTCTTGAAAGAATGAAGGGTCTCCTGTGGTTAGACCTTTGAATCAAACCTTCGTACGTTGGAATGACCTGAAAAATGTGACATTCGAGTAAAGCATCATTATATTTCATTTCGTTCGTACCTGTTTTAGGGCAAATTCGTTGTGAACCTCCCTGTGTTCTAGCCCGCCAAAGTGTACGCAATCTTTGGGCATCGTAACCTCTGGGCCGTTAAATACCGAGGGTTCGTTCATGTCGTTCCATATGTACACGTCGTGCGTGGTACCTTTGAACTTATCTAAAGCGTACAAGCCCTTGTAGTAATCGACCGTTTTCGGGTCATAAAAATCTAAATAACTGCTTGATCCAGGCCAACACCAACCTGAAATATCAAAGTTACGTCAGCTTCGAAGACAATTTGATAAACGTAAATTGTTTACCCTCATAAACACTTCCATCTTTATTTTTTACATAATAATCATTGGCTAGTGCGTCTTCGTGTAAGAAATAACCAGCCTCCCTTTTAATATGAGGATCGATAATTATTACAAGTTTCCTCCCAGTAGCAGTTAAGTTATTAATCATTACGTCCGGATGGGCAAACTTTATGGGATCCCAAGTGAAATATTTTTTACCATCCGTGTACTCAATATCTAACCACATTACATCGACGGGCAAATCGTGAGCATCGAAGTTTTCCACTACATTGGTCACGTCATCTTCGTCATTGTAATTCCAACGACACTGATGATAACCCAATGTGTAGAACTAAAAAATTAGGGATTCTTTTATTGACAACACCCCAAAAATTGATCTTAATAATTATATACCTGTGGTAAAGGAGCAACCCCAGTAAGAGAAGCATACTGCCTAATGGCGTCTTTCGGTTTAGGACCCATAAGAACAAACATGTCAATGACACCGCTTTCGCTCATAAAATGAGCTTCGACACTGTTATCAGTTTTAGTGCCTGACACTAAATTTACTATCGATGACATTACATTGCCATCCTTGCTATTTTTGATATCGACCCACGTTTCAGCGGAATTGTGCCAGAAAACTCCGACTGTGCCTTTTGGCCTAAAATAAAGAAGCCAATGAATGTATTTTTCAAGAAGTGGGGTGTTCTGCTGTTCAGGAAATTATTATTGTGGATATATTTTCTGAAATAATATCTAATGATTTCAGTAAGAGTGATGACAATGGTTTTTAGCGTCTCGGCAGTCGAGACGGCAAAATTACACCTGTTACACACTGTCTAGTATTGTAGAAATCGCAGTGGGTGTTGAACAAATAAAAGTAATATTATTATAATTGCTACATTTATCTTTTTTATTCACACCAAAAAGCAATGGGAATTTGTTCCGAACATAAATATTTCTCAAGAATAAATAATTAAATAAAACAGTTCCGTCCAAATTGAATGCTATACTTTTATTTTTGTTCCATGAAATGAACTTGGCGAGAAACAAATTTTTTTAAATCTTCAAATTGAATATTTTGATACAAAAAAATATGTAAAAAACTTACGAGTGTGCATATACAACAGGAACAGCTCCATAAAGTGCCATAGTAGAGTCCATCTCATACTCAAATACATCCAAATTATATAACCTGTAAGGTTCCAAACCACCCGAACCTGTAGTTCTTAGAGCAAGGCTGTCAGCATGTTCAGGGAGTCCATATATACGAATAGCACCGGGAAACGCAACATCAACACCTACCGCCGAAGGTCCTCGTGGTTTGCTATCGTGATGCGACTTGAAATTCTCCTCCCATGCGCCCGGATCTTCATCTGTTTGTTGTGCTTCACCTTCTTCATCACTTAAAAATTATACGTTTTATAAAGATAACTACACATCACTATATAAACATATATTTCAAAATAAGATACGCAAGATTATGATAAGCTTTGTGATAAGATTAATTTTAACTACTTACTTTTCCTTCGGTTTGCTTCTATAATGTTCAAATTTGAATAGTCCTCTACCATTCACAACACTCACCAACTGCTCTTTTTCAAAGAATTCCAACTTAAAAGGTTTTGAATAAACTGCTACCTTATTATTACCTGAACGTACTGTTATACTTTCTTTGTTCCGGTCTAAAACTTCCAGTCTAAAAATATATTATTTTGTAATTGCCTAATTATTACAAAAAACTGAACACTTACTTAGTAACTTGAGGTTCCCCCTTCAAAGCATTTTGGGGGCGATATCTAGGATACAATGGACTAACTTCATCTACTTGCAACCGAAATATATTGCCAGATATGGCTGTAAGTGAAAATTTAAAAGGAATATCTGCTTCTACATTTATTAATTTGGCTTCAATCGTGTCTTCGCCAACTTGAAGAGTTTCCAGGTCCAACATATATTTGCTTTCACCTTCTGTAATACCCCTTAACCGTCTAACAGAAATTTAAAATTAATACTATTTATTGTTTTTAAAAAATATATTTACCTGCAAAAACTACTTTGCTCGCAAGTTTTAAAATTATTTTTATCTACTGCAAATACTGATAATACAAAAACCAGCAAGAAAAGAGTGAACCTAAAAAACATTATTTAGGAAAAAGGATTACTTAATGTTTTCTTGGAAGCTTACCATGAATTCGAAGCCATATTGGCGAATGGCGATGTATTAGAAATTAAAAAAATATATATTCTTTTATATTTGTTTTTTCCTTCCACTTCCCAAATCTTAAGACATTCAACATGAAAACTTAAAATCCACGTCAGTTTTCAGATTATGATTACTGACATGTGCAAAACAGCCGGCACTGAAGTGGAAGCACCGGAAAATGATAAAGATAAACCGGCTTAACCGGCAACCGACTTGACAAGTAAAAGAAACTGACAAAAACAAGAATTTTTAGAACTAAGACCTTAGACAAAGAACATAAGAATAAATGAGCCGTGGATTTCCCTAGTCATGTTTCCCGACGCAACCACCAGGAGCGCTGTAACTCTTTTCATACCTCCATCATTATTATTAACTCGCGCCATTATTCCATGGCTAGAAATTGGCCTCAATGATTTGGGATCGAGGGGGATTATCCCTCTTTATCCTGCCTCATCTCGTGTAGGCCTGGACAGCCTTCGTAGGTGGGCCCCATCCGTCGTCTACCCCGACCGCAAATGCGGCCGGTGTAGGCGCTTTGTGGGACCTCCTTTTGTCCTGGCTGGGCCCCGCCGGCTAGGGCCCTTTCTTCTGGCGCTCTTCTTGCTTCGCCGGCTCGTCTGTGTAAACCCCGGGGGTAGTGTCATGTTTATGTGTGGTATGGTTGGGTAGGGTAGTGCGGCTATGCAGCCTGGGATGCGCTTTGCTAAGGTGGCCCTTAGGCTAGCGCGGGAGGGGAGGGGTAAGGAGGGTATGGGGGGTGTATATGTGTGTGTGTCGTTGTCTTCGTTTCTTGATCCTGGCTGTCTCTGAAACAGAAAAGGTTAGCGGGGGGGGGGGGGGGGATGTCGTTGGGGTGGTCACCCAGGGTTATTATTAACTAAATCACGTCGACTTTGTAATAAAAGTACTACTACCAAATTTTGTCATTTGTCCCAAAATGTCGGTTTGGTTAGATCAAAATATTGGGTTACGTAAAATAAACTGTTCAATACATGTGAACATTTTTATTTAACCTAACCTGATTTGCATAATTCTAAAGCGTTTTAAAAGGAAAAATATAAAAATAGTTCATGGTTCTCTCACCGACGGCACTGAAACTTTTATGAAAACTCAGTGATGGCGATGGCGTGCCTTATAAAACAAATCTCGGTACTAAAAACAATGCTATTATAAACTACCATAACTTCCCCTAAAACTAGGGGTTTACGAAAATTCTTTGTAGATAATCAAGTTGTTAGCTTTGTGCCGTGCCTGTTATTCTTACGAGTTCATTTTCGTAAAGCTCCAGTGTGAACAATTTCAACAATTAGAGGAACCAACTAGTCCCGTATGTCCAATACCAAAAAGATTCCGCTCAGATGTTCTGTGCATTTCATTCTAATAGCGATTTCCATTGGGGAAAACTGGGGCTGCACTCGGGCAGCACTGACACTCCACTGGTTGTATGAGAAATATGCTGTGGTGCAATCACAATGGAATGACAATTTTTGCGTGGGTTTCCAACATTTACAGGTTGTGTTTATGTTTTGATTTTTATTCAGTCAAAGTAACAGTTCACCAGTTGAAGTTTTTCAAAGAAGGTAATTACAATGAACCAAGAATTAAATTTGAAATTTAAAATAAACCACGAGGAAGTTACTTTGTGTATTTCTGTAGACAAAACGGTTCACTTATTTAAGTTTGTAGATGACATTTTCAATGAATCCATCCACTTTTTTCAGTTGTTTGCGTATAACTGGTATAACATACATTTCATCATCATCACTACTTGATAATGGAGCAACAACTTTGTCCATATTTACCGCCATTTTTTCTTGCACTGACTGTTGTTCTAGTTGTCCAATAGAATTTGAAAATTTGCACCGACTTGACCAATGGAACGTCAATGGTGCACTCAGTGTACACCAGTTTTCTCAATGGAAATCGCTATAAGTAATTTATTAGCGATATCCATTGATACACTGAGTGCGCATTCAGTGTATATCCATCCTGTATTATCTACAGTGATAATAAAAGATGGAAATACACTCGGTGCGTACTCAATGTGTCAATGGAAATCGCCATATGCAATGTGTTTAATCCATACTTCTATAATTTATGGTTCAATCTAACCACAAAACATGTTCTGTGGTTCAATTCAGTTTATGGTTTATGCTTTGTTTGTGATTCAGTTCTAACCTCATTTATTTACCTGTATAAAATGAAGTTGTATTTTGATTATAAACCTTGACGTCTATGATTTTTATTCATTCTAATTTTCAAATATCGTTGAAATTTTCTTTATAAAAATGGGCGAATCGGTAGAACAATCCATGGAAGCATGGTCCTTTACAAGTTTGTATAAATATAAAGGCAAAAATGTAGAACTGTCCCAACAGCAAAGAAGAGAGAAATTTCTTGAAGACCAAAAACAAAAAAGGCATGAAGTTACAGATAGCAATAGGAATTTATGTGAAGATTTTCTTAGTGAATTACATCTACAAGAGGAACAAATGGAATGTGATGAATTAGAGCAACCGAGGAAGAAAATTAAATATAAATTAATGCAGTCTGAATGGTTCACTGATATCCCAGATGATCTAGAAGAAAACTGGTTAGCTAAATTATGTCCCCAAGGTTTCCGAGTATTATTTATTGCTCAAAATAATAAAACAATAGTATCCACAGAAGGTAGGATTATTTTAAATATACAAAGTAATTTCCCTGGCGGAGGAGGGATCGAAAGTCGTGGAGGAATTACGATTTTAGACTGCATATTTAATAGATCTACTAAAACAATATTTGTCCTGGACTGTTTGTTTTGGAATTCGATGTCTATGTTAGATAGTGAGGCAAGTTTTAGATTTTTTTGGTTAAAAACCAAATTTAATGAAAGTCCATCATTACTAAACTACAAAAAATATAATTTCTCGCTATTAGAAGTTTTACCAGCTCATAGATCACTAATCCAAGACAAAATGTTTACACTTTTATCCGTTGGAGAACAGAAGTATCCGTATGACGGTGTGGTTTTTTACCACAAAGAATCTAACTATACCTTCGGTTATACACCACTGGTAGCTTGGTTAGCCTCCTACATGTTACCTGAAAAATTGCACATAGACGTTTCACCAGAAAATATGTTTAGAAGGCCCAAAGACTACGTTTGCATGGAAACGTACCTTGAAAACTTGAGTAAGAGAAAAAAATTAAGATATAACTCGAAACAACACAAGACTAATTCGCAAATGGAGACTCAGTAATGAATTCAACTGAATGTATATTGTGTGGGTGTCCCTGAAGATCTTCGACACTGATCACAAAATCAGATGACTTAAGAGACAGATGATTTCAACACATTCAATGCTGAAAATATATCCGTTTTACTCGAAATCTGCAACTGTTGTAAAAATTTTGTTAGAAAATTCTTTAAAAAATAATTTTGTTTTAAAAAATATGTACATTGACCAATAGGGCACAGCCCTGAAAATATGACATTTAAATGAATGCCATGTAATAAATTTTGACCAAAATAATATTGAAGTGCCATTAAAAAATATTGACTGTATATTGCCAAGTTGGTCAAAATTTTGGTTCCAGGATTCTGTTCGGGGTGTCCCAACTTTTCTGACACCTTGTATATGAAATTCATAAATTAGTTTTTTTATTTATTTACAATTTTATGTGATGTTTGTGTTTGTTTTTGTGTAGCTAAGATAATGTAATTAAATGTGTATATTTGTAATAAATATTTTAATCAAGAATAGTTTTTAAAATTACCTCACAAGTGCATTATACAAATTTTACATTTCAAATTTTTTACATAATATTTTATATTTGTATAATACAAAACGGGCCGTTTCTTACACAGGCTGTTTATTGATTGACTTGGGTCAAGTAGGCCTACTGCAAGTACTTTGCATTTGTTTTCCGAAATTATGACAACAAATTGCAAGAAATAACACACCTCAGATTCGTCGTGGTTCATTTGTTTCACGTGTTTCCATGGATCAACTGATTAATTGGACATGAAAAGCGAATATCAGGTTCTATGGCGACTATTACGGCAAAATACTGAGCTTGTTTTGTTTTGAAATCCTCGTTACTCTAAATTATGATAGACATTTAAACAAAAAAAAATTTCCCCACAATGTTTACTTACTCTTCAAACTTTTTATTAACATTTCACACTTGTATAAGAATACAAAATTGGTAAATCAAATACTTCACTCAAAAACAATAAAATGGTTAGTTAAAAACATTACAAGTTGATACATGGCCATCATTTAAGGTGTCACACGTTTCGGATCACGTGGGAACATCGAGGTCTTTCTGATGTTGTCCAGTCCCAAGTACAACATAACTACCCTCTCTAGCCCTATGCCACCTCCAGCGTGAGGGGGACAGCCATATTTGAAGGAGTCTATGTACGAAGCTATCTTAGAAACATCTGCAATATGACGTTAACATTATTTTACGCAATTAATTTAAGAATGCAAAGTGCCAAAATGGTGTAGATGTCGCAATGCTAAATATGTTTGCACCTAAATTTTATGATCACAAGGACAAAGTAATTGCCCTATGCCTCTGTAAAATCATGTGACGGTGCCTCTTTAGAGAACATAAGAATGTGATATATTCGCAAGTGGCTTTGTGAGAGGGTATGATGCAAGAAAGCAGAAAGATTTTTGTTTTATCTTTTATATTTTGTGCTAAGATTAGATATCTGTGCATTTTTTCAATAAGTATTTATTCTCCTTTAAAATGTGGAATAAAAACAAGTATTACATAATTTGGATGTACATTATTAGAGTTTTATTTAAGCAGTTTAAGAAAAAGTAATATCAAAACGTTTAAAAATAATTATATACTGAATGTTTTAGGAGATGTACATACTTCAGTATGTTATTCTACGTTCAATTTTAAGCAAAAAATTTACTATGAACTTAGGTCTGGAAACGCTTTGTTTAGGATATACAGGATGTCAAATTAAAAAAAATAGTTAAATTCATGAAATTTTGTATGCGGAATTTTCTTGGGACGGAAAATTCAAATTTTATGGACGATTGGCTGCATCTCCCAGAGGACGCCACAAGCGACCATTAGGAGCCTTTTAAATCGTTTCAACTTTTTTGTGCCACGGTGTATGTCATTTCGCAGCCGTTTCCATTGAAAACTTTTCTTATTGACAAGTTCTGATCACGGAAATAAATAAAAGTAAGATTTTCAAGTAGGCTCCCATCAGATAGTTGACATTTAATTAAAAGTGACAAAAAATGAACAGTTTTTGTTTTGCAAATTTGTTTGTATTTAAATTTAAAAAATGCATCTTTACGCATAATGCAAACAAGATTTGTATCCCTTCCACATTCAAAACGTACAAAATTTTCAACCAAGAGATCATGCCAGAAGATTAGAATTTTATGAATAGATCAACGCTAATCGTCAACTAGTTCCAATGATGTCTTTTACTGACGAAGCTGATACATAATTAGCACTCTAATACATAGTTTGCATGCGTCATCATTTTTAGACGAGTTTTTAACGGAAACGGCTGCTACTAGACACTTCAATAAGGTGTACATTTCTTAAGTAGAAAAGATAACATACTGGTGTATGGCATGAAAAAATTGAAGCGATTTAAAAGGATCCTAATGTTCGCTTGTGGCGCCCTTTGGGAGATACAGCCAATCGTCCATAAATTTTGAATTTCAGTTCCAAGAAGCCTCCGCATACAAAATTTCGTGAATTTAACTCAAAGTAGTCGAGAGTTATTAAAGAAAATGTAAAAAATTTTTTTAATTTGACATCCTCCTAAACGAAGCGTTTCCAGACCTAAGTTCATAGGAAAATTTTTGCTTAAAATTGAACGTAGAATAACATACTGAAGTATGTACATCGCCTCCTGAAACACCCTGTATGTAATGTAATATTTAAATTTATGCAGCTTTCGTGCCAGACATAATCGCCTTCAGTACTTACAGTAGTTAAATATTTAGCTATACAATAATTGCCGTACAACTACTAAGAGAAAACAACACTCAAATTTAAAAAAAATGTAGGTGAAGGTGCGTCTTTAGCGACAAAACTATATGTCGTGTGACTATTTGGTTTAGTGGTAAAACAGGAAAATTGGAAAATATTAGGAAAAAATCACAGAAACTGTTTTTTCCTAACCTGATACGTTTTTCTCAAAATTATCCTTAAAAAGAATTGCATAAGTCCCTAAATGAATAAAATACTCCAATTTTGAAACAAAGACCCTGTTAAAAACTTGAAATACAAGATTTAATCTTTCATATATTTTTATAGGATGTAAAAAATATAATTTTTACACCCATATGGAAAGATAAACACCTTAAATACAAGGGTCGCCTTTTATATTGTGGGAACGGACAATCCCGCAGTCATCTCACAATGGATCTCTCTATCGTAAAGTTCGACTTTTTATTGGTATACTTACTCCGAACGTTTAGACGTACAGGCGTTATTTGTGTTGTTTACAGCGACTTGAAAAATTCTTCTCAGCCAAAAAAATGGAATTAAGTCATGAACATTTCAATGTGTTTATCTTTTACAACTTTCAACATGGATTATCTCAACAAAAGTGCATCGATGAACTTAATTAGACTTTTGGCGATGAAGCACCACCAAAAACCACCCTATATCGGTGGTATATGGAATTCAATCTTAGCCGTAGTTCGCCCACAGACAAATTTCGTTAAGGTGGTCCAAAATTGGTTTGTGATGATTGGTCGAAGGAAACGTTCAAGAAATGCGAACGGGGTGCTACAATATATGTCTATGACATCGTAACAGGTGACGAACCATAGATCTATCTATGTGTATGAGCCAAAAAGTAAAAAAGTGAACAACAGTAAAGTTGTTTGCAAGAAATACTTCTAAGTACAAGGTTGTCTGTTTTTTACCGGACATATGGTAACTGTACCATTAGTGCAAATTCGAACAGTAAATTCTGAATGGTACACAACCGTTTTTGAAAAAATTAGGGAAACCAACTACTGAAGACGCATTATTCACCACCAGGACCTTTTGAGAACTGAAAATGTTGAATTGATGAGTTGTCCGCCATACAGCCCTGATTTGGTATCCAATGACTTTTTAAATTAAAATAAATTACGAGATCAATGTTTTTCGACGCCTAAAAAAGCGGTTGATGCGTTCAAATGCATGTCTCTATTGCAATTGAAAAAGTGTTTCGAAGTTGGTTCAAGCACATACAAAAGTGTATTGAAGTCATATACGACGATTAGATTAGATTAGACAGTTAAATTTTGATAGTCCACTGGTACAAATAGTAAATTTTTTTGGTAATAGCCAACAGAATATTCATAAACGTCAAACAAAAACAAATTAAAAGACTCACCTATTCCGTGATGCTTGGCCCTCTCCGTAAGAAACACCGGATCGTGTATACGTTGAGCCCCGCTAAGAATTTCCTCGCCTCTCATAAACATATCGTAAGAATTAGAAATGGAGGGATTCTGCGGATCAGGCATGGTATAAAACGGTCTTACGGCCAAGGGGTACTTGTCAAGGATATAAAAATCGGTATCGTATTTGGCCTTGATCAGACGACCTAATAGTTTCTCCGCAGGAGTGTTTAAGTCCTCTTCCTCCCCAATTTCAACGCCTGCTTCAGCGAGCATCTTCCGAGCTTGGGGATACTGCAAGACTAATGGTGGGTCCAAGAAGGTAAATGGTTCGGCAGGATACTGTTGGCCAACCAGATTGATTTCAGTACTGTACCTAAAATAATTAACAATAAACAATAGCCAGTTTTTAAACACGAATAAATGTTCTTACTGATCACGTAATCCTTTAAAAATTTCCGTGAATAGATTGCCGATGGTAAGCATAACTTCATGGTAATGGTACTGGAAAGCCATTTCTAAATCTAAACCCGTGAATTCGGTCAAATGCCTGTGGGTGTTAGAATCTTCCGCTCTAAAAACGGCACCCACAGTGAAAACTTTTTCAAAATCGGCTGCGATAGCCATCTGTTTGTACAACTGTGGACTTTGTGCCAAATATGCCGATCCTGTAATTTAAATTAGTTTATATTACGAGTGAGAACACATTTAATGTATGTACCTTTGAAATAACTGACGGTAAATACATTAGCCCCTCCCTCGGATGCTGCTGGAATAATCTTTGGTGAATGAAATTCAACGAATCCTTTTTTTGTTAATATATCACGAAATAGGCGACAAACGCCTGCCTCCAATCTAAATAAAGCTTGATTAGTAGGAGTTCGCAAGTCCAGGATTCTGTTGTCAAGTCTTGTATCCTGATTTACACGAATATTTAGTCCCTCTTCATCCTACCCGACAAAATCAAATTTCAAATATCACTACACACTTGTAAAAATTAAAAATATATTATTAGTTTTTAGACCAACCTAGTTTTACTCAAAATAATTTAAGTCCGATAATCTATACTTTTGACTTTTTACGTAACGATAATCTATTTCCTTGTTAATTGTTGCAATATTTGTATAAGTAATAGTTAATGCAAACGTGAAACTCACTTCTTTCTCTGGCCTACTAGCATCTTCAATTTGGAGAGGTAATTGAGGAGCAGATGCTGAAACTACCCATATTTGGGAAACTACCAGTTCAACGTCACTCTGGCTACATCCTGCAACACCACTTGGAACTTCCGCTACTTTGGCTTCCAAATCCACAATACTTTCCTTTGAAATACTATAAATTTCAAGTATATCAACGTTTCCAAAACAAATTATAAAAATTACCTGCTGGAAAATTTCACCATAAATTTAGACACAGTGTCTGATACATTAACAAGTGCTTGGACGGTAAATTCTCTCTGACGCAGTACAATGAAACACTGTTTACCTCTAGCCCTTTGAGTGTGTAATCTTGCTCGAACCCATACTGTATTGCCAGCCAATGACTTATTCAAGTCTTTTATATAAGTAAAAGTACGTTGAATTGAACTAGGATCCGATTGAATTAGCGGTAAATTCCCATATTTCCCTGCTGAAACATCCTCTGCAAAAAAGATACTTAAAAAAAAATATACTTAATATAAATTCCTAATTGCATCACCTTCTACCGCTACATTTTCTTTTTGATTTGATCCTTTATGTTCGGCCTTCTTTTGAGCTTTTTCTGCCTTTTTCGCTTCTTTTTTTAAAGCTTTTTTACTTTCCGTTTTCTCTGCACCTTCTGGGGGTTTATTATCAACCATATTTATTTACTAAAAAATCAGGCAGTACACACTACTATATAAGGACCATTTAAATTTATTTATTTTCCATTTAATCGAAAAAATATATCAAAAAAAATATAAACCCCTAAAATTTAGAACATAATTAACTTTAATCTTTCTTACCAACTTTTCCGGTCTTCCACAACCTAAAAGTACACTATTCACTGTTCGTTCGTGCACTTGATCACATCAGCACGTCACCACAGAATTAAACAATACAAAATTACAAAACAACAACCTTTGCAACAACACGTCATCACAAATCCCACAGGCTGCATTCAGAAAATCACATCGATCACATCGACATAATAATAAGTTAAATTTTATACGTACCTAACCTACAAAAACTGAATTATTTGAAAAAATATAAATAGAGAATCAAAATCAACTGGTTTAACGATTTTGACAAAAGCGTTAAGCTACAGTCCAGGGGGGCATTCGTTTTGACAAAAATAGTACCTATTAGCAACTAATATCAGTTCAGAGTAACTCTAATGGCGATTTCCATTGACACACTGAGTGCGCACCTAGTATATTTGCATCTTTTATTATTACTGTAGATAATGGAGATACACTGAATGCACTTAGTGCATCAATGGACATCGATATAAGTTGCTATTAGCTCCTAATAACTACTATTTTTGCCAAATCGAAGGGCCCTCAGAACTACGAGCAAGTCCAACCTCAACGTTCAATTTGACCCGTAACCCTTAGCTTTACGCGGCTTAAAGCTATTGTAAATCAATGGCATAGCATAAGAAACATTACTGTATCTGATATCGTGTGCGTCTGTGGTCTGTGATGTAAAATGATAAAATGAAGTCTGACTGAAATGTCATATATTTATATTTTTCGCTTTCTGTCTAATTGCTGCGTTGTTTAACTTAAAGTTTGAAATTATAAAAGCTTTCAACATAAAGGATAATTTAGAATATAAGAATGGAAGTGGAAACAGGTAATTAATTTTGTTTCATAAAAATTACAAAGTGAGGAGCTACTTTTACTTTGCCAAGTTCACATTTTATCTTTCTTCCAGAAGGATCGGAATTAAATGCATCAAAGCTGTCGGGACAGAGTATTGCTTCACCCAATGGAAGTTATAGATCAAGATCACCATCTGCTGAATCGAATAAGTCCAGAAAGGATGGTTCAGTATCTCCAACTCGGTCCCATTCAGGTTAATTGATTTTATTTCAGTAGATGCACATAGCAAACCCGTTAGCATAAAAGAGATTGTGCTGATTAAAATACAATTTGAAATGTTTTGGTTATAGGTAATATGTAGTTATAGTTTTTCCTTCATGGAAATGTGAATAATAATAAAACATTATGCATTATATTTTGTAAAATAAAGTGTTAACGTAAGTATAACTCGGTACTAGTGCAGTTTGGAACAATTCAATTTATTTTTGGAAAAAATATGTACATGTATGTAACTGATTAATAATTAACTACTGGTAGTACTAATGTGCACACAGGTACTAGGATTGTATGATTTTTTAGAGTCTATATAGTAAATATATTGTTCACATTCTATTAGGGTATATATCAAATAAACACATACTAATTTAATACCCCTGAAACTAACTAATATGTTCATATTTTTAAATCAGTTAAATTGCCGATGACGAGAGTTATGGAGGTATTTATTGCAGGATCAAGAAAATCACGCTCCAGATCGAGATCCAGATCCCATTCAGGATCTGTCAAAGCTACTTCTGGATCTAGAAAAGGTTCTAGATCTAGATCAAGATCAGGTTCCAGGAAGTCAAGATCGAATTCAAGAAATTCTAGGGCATCACGTTCAAAATCAAGATCTCCTTCACAGTCTGCCTCTAGGAATATTTCCAAATCTAGATCTAGATCTCCTTCAAACAGAGCTTCAAGATCCAGATCAGGCTCTAGAAAATCTAGATCTAGGTCGCATTCTGCTAGATCAGCTTCAAGGTCTAGATCGAGATCTGGATCTCGAAAATCAAGATCTGGCTCTCGAAAGTCAAGATCTGGATCTCCCAAGTCACGAGCAGGGTCACAAAAATCGAGGTCTGGATCTAGAAAATCACGATCTGGATCACGAAAATCAAGATCTGGATCTCCAAAATCACGGTCTGGAACTCCAAAATCTCGATCTGGATCCCGCAAGTCAAGATCTGGATCACGAAAGTCAAGATCTGGATCACCAAAATCGAGATCCAAATCTGGTTCAACATCACCAAGAAAACGTTCTAGATCTAGATCGGGATCGAGAAGGTCAAGATCTGGTTCTGGTTCAGTAAAAGCTAAATCAAGATCGCGGTCTAGATCTAAGCATTCTAAGTCAAAGTCACCGTCAGTTTCCCGGAGATCCAGATCTCGATCGGGATCTGCAAGGTCAAATGCTTCTAGAAAATCGAGAAGTGGATCAAGAAGATCAAGATCAGGTTAGTTACTGAAAATTATAAGAGTAGAGCTTTAACGAAATAATTGAATGATATTTTAGGATCAAGGAGGTCACGGTCAGGATCTAGAAAATCCAGGTCTCGTTCAGGATCAGCAAAATCGGCCGCCTCTAGAAAATCTAGAAGCGGGTCTAGGAGGTCAAGATCAGGTTCGTCTGAGTATTTTAATTTTAGAAACTTTTGTAAAATTAAATCCCATATCTAGGCTCCGTACGGTCCAGATCAGGTTCATCCCGGTCTGGATCTAGAAAGTCGAGGTCTGGTTCAAGAAGGTCAAGGTCACATTCGGAATCTCGACGGTCAAGATCTGCTTCTGCTAGGTCACGTTCGGGGTCACGTAGATCAAGATCGGGCTCCAGAAAATCTCGGTCCGGATCAAGAAGGTCGAGGTCTGGGTCAAGTTCGGCTAGGTCCAGGTCAGGATCAAGAAGGTCAAGGTCTGGATCTAGGAGGTCTAGATCTCGATCAGGATCTGGCTCAAGACGGTCAAGGTCAGGTTCAGGAGTAGCTAGGTCTAGGTCGAGATCAAAATCGAGATCTAGATCTAGATCGGGTTCGAGGAAATCTAGGTCACGTTCAGGTTCAAGAAGATCAAGATCAGGGTCGGCCAAGTCGAAGTCACAATCAAGGTCTAGATCAGGTTCTCCCGCAGAAGGTAATTAAATAATTAATAATCGGTATATAAACTTGATTCTGACTTTTCGTTAGGTAAAACTGGCCGTAAACGACACTTATTGTCTGATTCTGAGGACGAAGGTGAACAGCAACCGGCAAAGAAGGCTCTGGTAAGTGACGATGAGGAGGAACCAGGTCCTTCGGAATTACGGAAAGAGGGCCAGCCAGAGGAACAGGAAAAAGCTCCGCCACAAGAAGAATATGACTCAGACGAAGGAATCGATAGGAATATGTAAGTGTATTGATATGTGATTTGTAAATGTTTTTACGTATTTGGAAATTATGTTTTAAACAATACTAGAAAGGTAGGCAAGACTTGATCTTTCTCTCGGGCCTTCGGCGCGCAGCTCGAGCACCGCAGAACGGTGCTTTCTCTGTAGATTGGTGAATAATATATAACATTTTCCAAAAAAATAAAAGAAAAAATGGGCCTTCAGCTTCACAGTCGTGAGTTTACAAAACGCGCTACAGCGATCTAACACTGGGTGGAGCCTGCACGGGTATTTGAAACCTTGTTTCTCGCGAATGTAAACAGAAAATTGAAAAGATCTAAAAGATCGGACCTAACGGCAAAATAACGACTCACCGTGGCTCGATCGGCCGGGTAAACGCGTCAAATGACAAAATTTATTTTGACGTCTTCACTGACGTTTGTCTCCATCTCTGTTTAAATATCGGATATACTTCGGGTATCTCTCTCCTACTGAGAAAAATCATTTTTCGGCGAGGACTCTTTAAAGTGGAAAGAGTGACCGCAAAAAACCTGTGATTTTCGCCCATTTTTTTACAATTGGCAGAGAATAGAAAAAATACATAAAAATATATTTTTGGTCGCAAATTACTTGTCGTAAAAAACTGAAATGAGCATAGCTTTTAGTATTTTGAAAATTAAAAAAATCACCCCTCTTAGGGCTTGAAAAAATGGAAAAAATTAAGAATTTGAATATTACCAATTCATATGAACACTATTAGCATGTGAATTATCATATATATTTTTTTTGGAATTTTTACAATTATTTCTGATATTCTCTATTTTTGGGGATGATTCCACCCCCTGAATGCGCTTAAGGGTGGATTTTCTAATGCTTATTTTAGTCATGAGAATAAATCTTTCTTTATATCAAGAATCATTCGATAGAAAAATTCACATGCTAATAATTTTTATATTTGTTGGTAATATTCAATTCTTCATTTTGGGCGTCTTTTCAACCCCTAAATAGGGGTGATTTTTGAAAATTTTCAAAAACTAAGAGCTATGCTCATCTTAATTTTTTACGAGTAATTTGAGACCAAAAACATATTTTTATCTATTTTTTATTACTGTACGAAAGTAAATGGACAATTTAAACATTTAATTAATTAAAATTTTTTTGAAAACTTTTTTCGATTTATTTCACCGGTACTTCCACAGGTTTTCTACATTAATTTTAAGGCAGAACAAAAAAATTTCATCATGTTTGTAAAGAGAATTGAAATACCTTTAAAATGATGTGCCACTTAACCCCCCTGTGACATTTAAGATTCTTGAAGGGGTTGCCACCCCGTTTAGGGGGATGACCCTGCATCCATGAATTTTGATAAAAAGATGTTCCCCTTGAACGTAAAATTGACCTGTTTCGGGTTTTTCCGCAAAAACTTGTTGCATTGAAAATATTTCAGGTGGACTGTTTTAATTGGTCCACCCTGTATAAGGATTATGATAAATCATATGAAGCAAAAAAAGCGAACATGATTAAATAAGATAATAAATACTGCCTTATTAAATAAAATAGTGCCAACATATTGAGGACTGCTGGAGCTGAGAGGGAATGACACGTCATATACATAATATACATTTTTTTCTGCCATTTCCAGAAACTTTTACAATCAAGTTTCTTTCGTCGAGGGCTATCTCTCATACACCCTAAACATTATCATTTACATTACAGGGACCACGAGGACAATGGTTTATCGGATTTCGACAGAATGCTTGCAAGGAAGCGCGAGGAACAAACGAGACGAAGGAAAAGGAAAGACATTGACATAATCAACGATAACGATGATATAATCGCCGGTTTACTTGCGGACATGAAGAATGCGGCTGAGGTATTCCCCGTTTCATAATTTTACGTCATCTTTTGAAATATTCTAATTATTTTACAGGACGACAGGAAACTGAACCAGCAAGCGAGACCGGCGACGAAGAAGATAGGCATGCTGCACAAAGTAATGTCGCAACTGAAGAAGCACGACCTGCAGTTGGCCTTTATAGAACACAACGTGTTGAGCGTTCTGACGGACTGGCTCGCGCCGATGCCGGATCGGTCCATGCCTTCCTTGCAAGTCAGAGAGGCGTTACTTAAACTTCTCGCCGAGGTCAGTATATTTCACGAAACGATAAATTCGTGTTAAATTCTTGTTTTCCAGTTCCCCAAAGTGGATCAGGCTACCCTGAAACATTCGGGGATAGGAAAGGCCGTGATGTACCTATACAAACACCCGAAAGAAACGAAGGAGAACAAGGAGAGAGCCGGTAGATTAATTAGCGAATGGGCCAGGCCGATCTTCAATTTATCAACCGATTTTAAAGGTACAGCCCGATTCGAACGTTTTCATTTGCTAATCGAGATTTATTTTTCAGCGTTAAGCCGAGAGGAACGTCTACAGAGAGACTATGAACAAATGGGATCGAAGAGACGGAGGTCGGACGACGAAACGTCCGCCCAAGAGAGGAAGGAGCTCAGTAAAGCTTTGAATGCGGAGGGAAAGTAAGTGTTAGAGTTATGGATTCGGAGAGTTTACTAATGGCCGTTTTTTTTTAGACCTCTAAGGCCAGGAGAAAAAGGATGGGTGGCCAGAGCGAGGGTTCCCATTCCCTCCAATAAGGACTATTTAGTTAGACCGAAGTGGCAGTCTGAAGTAGATATTAGTAGGGTGAGTGGTTTCCATTTGAAGTATTTTATATTGTTTATACAATTCATTTTTATTTATTTGTTTATTTGTTTGTTTGTGTTTGTTTGTTTATTTGTTTGTGTTTGTTTGTTTGTTTGTGTTTGTTTGTTCGTTTATTTGTTTGTTTGTGTTTGTTTGTTTGTTTCTTTCTTTCCTTCTTTCTTTCCATCTGACAGTACGTATCAATTATAGGATGGGAATAGCCAGATATAATAATTAAAAAAAAAAAACATAAGTACAATCCGGCTATTAAGTTTTAAGACTATATACAATGTCTCATTTGCAAATCTTCAGCTTTAAGCACGAGAGACCAAATAATTGAGCAAGTACGTTGATAGAATTTTTTCTACGTTTTCATCAGTTCCGGACGTGGAAGGCCGACCCGGGCGTTGCACGTCTTCGATCGATATATCGCCACGAATCATGAATTCCACTCATACATTTGAATTCTTTTCAAGGCATGTTTTTTAAAAGTTGTAGAGAACATATCAATCGCGTCCAATGCACTTTTACCGAGCAGAAAACAAAATTTTAATGCCGCACGTTCTCGAATATCAACCATTTAAAAAAATTGATGAGGTGTTGAAATAGTAGTCGCATTGTTTCGGACTCGCTGCAACCGTCTCGAGCGACGCCAATTGACGGACTGACGTAACACCCATCTAGCGGGAAAAGTCCCAACCACAAGAGCCGCACATGCAGCGAATTTTGTTCGGTTATTTTTGGGTCTCACTTTGTATATATTTCAAATTATTACGATCAAAACTCGCTATTTTAATTATTATGGTCTAAGATTTATAAAGTGTGCTTAAGGAGGATACAATTAGATGGATCAAAAAAGCATTTTTCAGGAATTTTTTATTCAATCGTAATGAAATTTTGTAGGTTTGTTAAGAGGACATTGAAGTGTATAAATTCTTTTTTTTTTTCTTTATTTTCCAACAAAATAGCGGATATCTTATTACAACAAAGAATCCGTTGTGTTGATCCTGAACATTATTATTTTGATCTATAAAAACAGTCAGAAAAATTATGTAAAAAAAGTTACAATTAGTTGCTAAACTAAAAAAAATAAAAAAATGTTTTAAAAAAATTAACAATTTTCCGAAGTTTTTCGGTAATCTTTCCAATAATTATAGAGTTTTACAATATAAAATTCCAAATTTTTCCTGAAAGTTTCAGCTCAAACTGTTTTTAAGTTATCACAACACAACACAAGCTTCAAAAATGCTGTTTTGAGAAAATCGCGTTTAAAGTTTTGACTACTGAAAACACCTGTTTAAGTCGAGCGGCAGAGTTATACTAACCGTTACACATGAATTTCAGTGTAGATTCGCGCTCTTCCTCTGTAGGGGTATACCGACACTTATACATAAATCCGTCCCTGAGTCACTTCAAAACAAGATACAATAGACAAAATGTCCTCTGTCAACAGCGCCGAAATACGTGCTACGTTCTCTTCGAAAAAGGACGAAAATAAATAGAAGAACTTCAAATTTAATTTTAAAACTACATGTGCATTCTACGATAAATTTACTGTGTTTTTAAGTAAAAAAAACCGTTTTTTTTGACCATCTAATTGTATCTCCCCCGTTAAAGTTTACAACACAAATTGAATTACATTGTTGGACAGGGCTGTAGTCTGCCGAGTAGTTGTTTTCTGTAATATTATTAGTTACAAATTTTATTAAAATGCGAATATTTGGAAACAATTGGCAGGTGTATGACCAACTTAAAAATCATACAATTTACAAGTGACAACCTTTATTTCCATCACGTTCAGGTATATCACGGGACATAATTTTCCGCAATGGTTGCAATGCTACAAAATAGATTTTTTAATTTTTTACAAGTTAGACCAGAAAAAAATTTAAAATAAATGTTGTTTTAATATCGATATAATTTTCGTTCCTATATTGTGAACTTTGTGGCAGACTTATAGTAAAGTGTGAATATTGAATGACCTGGCGGTTTAAAGTTTTTTAAATTCTATTTAAACTAATTCATAGAAGTTCAAGAATTTTTTTCCTAAAAAAATTCTATCAAATGAAGCCAGTGTTCTTCGCATGCCCAAAGATTCCTAATTGTCGATATCGCGGGAAACATCTACTCTATTCCCAACTAGCATTGAAGTACACTAGCAATATCTATTAAATCGCTAGTTAAATAACACAGCCGCACAAAAAAAAATTGTCTACTTTTCATGCAACATATGTTATCTGTAGTATTTTTGCCTCCTGATCACGAATCCGGTGTCAGAATTAAGCTATAACATCACAGGAATTTCCTAACCTCAAAAAACAGGTCAAAAATAGCAAAAATTCACGAAAAAGTACTAAGAAAAATAGGAAAAAAATTTTTTTCTATATTCGAATGTTTATATGGTTAAGGCCCCGCTGAACTTGAATCCGCGGTCAGGATTGATGGTTCTTTTTCTAACCTCAAATAAACGTGTCAATTAAGGTCAGATATCACGAATTTTCAAAAGATGACAGATTCGCGCCAAATTTGGTGTGCAGGGGTTTTCAGGGTCGCTGATCACGGATCCGAGGTAAATTTTTGCAAAATTCAAGATGGCGAATCCGAGATTGCCGACCAAATTTTCAAAAAATAATCTATTCGCGCTAAATTTGATGTACGGGGTTTTCGAGGTCACGGATCACGAATCGGAGGTCAGAATTGCGAAATTCATTTTGTAATATTTTTGTTTACTTTATAACCTGAGTACCTAATCATGTTTTAACCTTTAACCTTCTTAAAGTATATAGGTAATTGATTAAATTTTTTAAAACGAATTTTGGAAATCTGATCTTGGATTCGTGATCAGTAATTATCCAAAATAAAAATATAAAATGATGTCTAAGTATTATTAATATAAAAACACTCACCTGACAGTGAAACTGTTAAATAATGCAATCTTTCAAAGAAATACCGATCATGTATTTCTGTAGCTCTAACACCCTTGACAAGCACCGACACCTAAAAACAGTTACTGTAGAAAAATCTTACTATTTTCACATTTTATTAGGATTGTTTCTTATAATATATAGTTGAAAAAACGTTTTTATTTTATAGAGCACTAAGAAGGGGCTGAACAGATTCGAAAAACACTATAAAAATTTCCTCGATAGCAAACGATTAAAACAAACTAGAAGGGCCGTGGAAATTTCAATAGAAGGGAGGAATATGGCCTTGTAATGTATTTTATTAGCAATTTATTTTTAAACTTATGTATATATAAGTTATTTAATGTTTGTTTTAAAATGAATTATAAATTCGCGTTATGTAGATATATCGTACCGATTTGAATGTTAAAAGGTTTTTATAAGATGCAAGAAATTTGTAATTCATTTTTTAATGGAAGTGTATAAAGTCCTGCTAGGATAGTTTTTTGAGTATTTCATTGTTTGTACTGATATATTTACGATAAATAAAGATTACGTTCCACATTTGGGAATTTTCTTTTAGCACCTAAAACTTCCATACTCATAAAAAAAAATTGTTGTTGAATAAATTGGATATTTCAATATGAGGGTAGGTATAAGGTAGGTATTTATAAGGTAGGTATTTTTAGCAATTTAGTATATATAGCATGTAATATTTCAAGTTGTAGAAAATGAAAGATTTTTTTGAATAAATTTTCATATAAACGTAGAAAACACTTGGTTTTGGAGGTAAATTTTGTGTACACATTGTACATGAATAAAATAGCAGTGAATCGGACAGAAATTAAGTTTCATGTGAAATAATACCACGTTCACTTTACATATTCCAACGAAATAAACAGTGAAGATCAAACGTTGCACTCATGATAAGTATGTTGTTGCAAAACTATTGGTCAATACAGAATGAAGAGCAATCTTCGATATATTTCGACCAACAGTTACTGTCGCCACTGTATAACACTTGATAATTATTTACTTCATTGAAATATGTAACGTGAATGAAGCATAGTTGCGCAAATATGAGGTATACTTATGTTTTTCTCAAAAAAGCCGCTGGAGAAAATATTCTTGTCTTTAAAATGTAAATCTTATTTTGAATAAAAATAGTCCCGACTTTTATCTATTTGATAAAAATTAGCAAGTTGTAAAAGTGGTACATTTAAATAAATTAGAAATAATTATACAAGACGTTACACAACAAGGTATCAAAAATGAAGAAAAATATTTTTCTTGTGTAGTAGCAACAAAATACATGAAAGAGAGCAAGAAGGTAGGTAAAGAGACGTTTAAAAAATTACGTTAAAGCACAGACAACATAAATAAAGACCACATATCAACTATTGATTTTGTGGAAAATAATTACTCTATGGGCTACATATGCTCCGTCCTCCATTGATTTACTTCCCACAACCCCCAATATCTGTCAAACAGCTAAGGTTGTTCATCAGCAGCTCACCAGTCTCAATGATCTTAGCTGTTTACTAGATATGTTGCTGGTATAATTCAATGCTGAATAAAGCTGTAGCCAGCAGAGTAGTTGCTTCTTCCACAATATCGTCCTCTAGTGCGAAACACACCATGCTTTCATATCTACAAATTATTGTCACTCAGACTAGTATAGAGATCAGTAGGTACAAAGTAATGATTTTTTAAAGTAGGCATAGTGTAGCAATGACATTTAAGATATGACATATAGTTTGTAGGTTAGATCGGTAATATCAACCTACACACACTTAAATAAAAATTACGTTCCACACGGAATTTTTGTTTAGCAATAAAATTTTTATACGACCATAAGTGTTACTTAAATGAAAAGAATAAAAAAGCCTCATTAGTTTATAAACATCTAAAAAAGGTACAGTTATTAATGGAACATGTTATTCCTTTTTTACAGAAATTTAATAATAAATGTATTTGTAATAGGTGGATCAATTTCAACATTTTTGGAAGCTTCTCACTTATTTTCCAAAAATACAGAAAAAGGTAGTATAGATCTCGCAAGCTCGATTTTTACAGCTGTGAAAATATTTAATTTTTGTGAAGAGGTTCTTTATAAAATCTTCGCGTGTATTCAGTGGCGTACACCATATTTTTCTATAATATATACTTCATCGACAATATAACGGAAATTCAATTAGATCCAACAGATAGTAAGTCAGTTTTGACTTGATGTTAGCACATTTCTACTTGTAAGAACGAGATAAACTTTCGGCGTGGGCTATACCGATATTAGAATTCCAGAAAATTTAAAATAATTTCAATTGTGACGAAGGTATAACTACTTACAATTTGGAAATTATTCATCCGCTAAAATTGGAGATCAGAATGACAGAGCAGGGATTTTTTTATTAATATAGTTCGTGAATGAAATTTCTGTTTAAAAACTTTCGTCTAGAACAAAATACTGTAGACTATTTAAACCTTCCCAAATTAATTCCTAAAATCTGTTTTCTGTTAAGCTTTGAAGGCATGGAGATATTTACTACTTATTTGAAACTGTCCACGTTTCTCTTGTAAGTTCAGGTCCCTTATTGGTGAGGGCCAAGCAAATGACTGTTTTGTCCAATAGATAACAAGTCAATGACTAGGACCTTCACTTCTAGTTTTATAATAATGTTGAATAATTTTTTCCATTAATTTTGTGTTACCTGTTTCATTTTTTTGTTTCAATTCATTAATTTCCTTGATGTTTGGATGTCCAGACTTTTTGTTCATAGAAATTAATTTCCTTGTACTGCAATGAGAACTGAGATCTACGTTTTCTATTTAGTTTTAACTGTTGATAGCATTTAGAGTGAATGTGGTGATAAATAACATTCGATAAAGATATATTTTTTAACGTTCCTTAAGCAGGATTAATCTGGTAATGCATTATTGACAGCATACTTTATTTTGATATATGGATCACGATCATGACAGGATAGGTCGTTTATAAAATGCTATTAATGTAGAGTGTAATGCAGTATAAAGTACATTCGGCTATTGGATCTGGACGTGTAATTAACAATGGACCAAGCCCTTTTCCTATTCCTATCTACTTATTACTTTATGGAATACCGTTTTGCACCATTATGCCGAACAGGGTTTATAAAGGTGGGTGGGTATAAAATCGTGTCAAGGTTAATTATATCGGCTATTTCCATTTTTATCTGAATTTTTAAAACTTCAACATACCACACTGCAAATGTTTTAATTAGGTATACTTTTAATATTTCTTGATTTAGTACCTTTATAATATCTCTGCCTCATGTTTCAATTTTTATTTACAGGGCAGTACTAGGAAAAAATATAATAAATGTAGAGAAATAATTGAAAGAAAAATAGGTATTATCTTTTGTAAAAGTTCTAAATGTGAATCTCTCTAATATCTAAAATGCAGGCCTTAATTCCATAAATTATAGTGTGTCATCCTATTCAAAATGCATTTTTTTTATGGAATCCGTAAATATCGCTCTACATATTTAACGTTTAACGATTGAGTAATACACATCAACGTATTGTTAATATTCAGACTGACGTCATTGATAAATAAAAATATAAAAGTAGCCCCAAGACCGAACCTTGTGGAGCACTTGTCTGTGCATACACCTCAACTGATTAAAGTCGATAGTACTGAACATATAATCTTCAGTGAGACATAAACCAAATTTTCAAGAATATAGAAAACAAGGTATTGATAGTTATATATTTTTGAGTAATATCAAGAAAAATGTAAACAACAAATATTAACAGTCAATTTAAAAATTTATTGTACTCCCTCCCATTCCGAATATTGATTTCAACATATTCAAATGGCTTAATAACAGGAAAACGAACACAATAGGTATACCCCCTTTCATGTTATACCTTTAGATTGGATGGTACTTTTGAACCGCTATTCAGGAAATTTCATTCATTGGATAAACTAATATCTTTTTTATTGTCTATTATAATAGGTCCTTATTAGAATAGGTGAAAAGCGCTAGCTTTTGGATTTCATCGAACTTTTCACTCATATTAGGTATTATTAGGCTCTTTTCCGAATAACTGGGTAGTAGTTTCCTTCTGAAAAAAAAGTTTATAGTTTTCTGTCGACATTTGTTAACTCGTTAATACTTTATTTTTTATTATAAGGAAATCGCAACTAATTGACAAAGAAATTTCTCTTGAGAAAGTTTTGTAGCGCAAAGAAATTGCTTATGAAAAATTTCCCAAGTGTCATGGTTTTCGAGTTAAATTAACTTGGTACTGATACTTCAACTGACTCGGAAGAAATTACAACAAAAAGTCATTGTGAACAGATGTCTTCAAGCCGCAAATTTTTATAAACAGTTGGAATTGGCTTTAGTACCCTCGAACACTTTATGTTAATTTTGATTACACGATATACCCTGTAGAAGTTTGACAATCCAGTTAAGAGACACCCTGTATAGGTCTAAAGGTGTCATTTCAGAATATGAACATATTTATTACTTACTGAATGTACAATATTTTTAGTTTTAATAATGTATTAAGAGACAAATGTACATGCAAACAGACTATAGTATTTTTGCTTAGTTAATTGGTTTCACTTTTAGTTTACATTCTTTATATATTATACCTACATCTTTTTATTCCATAAAACAAGTTTTCTAGATGAAAAACACACTACAATATACAGGGTGTAACTAAATAAGTGTAAAACATTTAAGGGGGTGATTCCTCATCGAAAAAAAGATAGGATCTTTCATACAAAGAAACTTCATTGGAGCATCCCTTGTTAAGATACAGCCCCTTAAAGGGGGTACATAAAATTTGTTTAACAATTTTTTTCACAAGCACTAAACAAGTTACAATATTGAAATTAACCTGACATTTTCTACTACCAAAAAGACACTTAGCCAGTAATTTATTTGGTTTACCCCATGGT